GATTGGGATGTAGACTGATCTTTTCCAGTCCTCTGGCCCCTGTTGACTTTTCCAAACTTGCTGGCATATTGAATGTAGCACTTAACAGCATCATCTTTTAAGATTTTAAATAGTTCAACTGGAATGCCATCACCTCCACTGGCCTTGTTGTTAGCCAGGCTTTCTAAGGCCCACTTGATTTCACTCTCCAGGATGTCTGGCTCAAAGTCTGCAATCACACTATCTGGGTTGTCCGGGACATCCAGACATTTCTGGTATAATTTCTCTGTGTATTCTTGCCATCTACACAGGTCTCCTATACAAACCAAATTCAAAGGAGGAACACTTTAATTGGCAGCAATCTGTCATTGATGGTGATGTTACTCCCAGTATGCCAGTGAAACTATGGAGTAGGATACTGGCCAATACCTGTACCAGAAAATGGAAACTACTCGCTAAAAATGCCATGGATGTAGAAGAGTGCCAACCTCTCTGCGTGCAGGCTGACTTCATTTAATTTAATATGACAGATTTCAGAAGGAATGAGAACTCATCTATGAATCACTGGAAGAAAAACCTCTATGCAGGACAGAGATGGTGGAGTAACACACATTTAGCTTGCTTACTTTGGTTGGCTCCTTGTAAAGATAATCTCTGAAGCTGCCTTCTGCCCAGCAATTCTCAAGAAGGCAGAAGATGTAGGGAAGGTTCCTAAACCCTACTTCCAAACAATGGCTAGACCCGTGGTTTCCTCCCCCACTCTAACTTCAGTGTTATGTAAAAAGATTCAGGCCTTGGAGCTCCACTCTGTCCACATCTACAGTACTTACCACGTAGGTGAAATATGTGACTCCATTCACCACTTGTTGGTTGTTGCTTCTCAAATTGAAATTGATAGGTAAGTTGTCCCCAGCCTTGAGCTCAGTAGCTGAGACTGCTAAATGCAGGTAGTTTCCAGATCCTCCCTGGGTTTGGTAAGCTCTAGCCACCATGCTCTTGGTTGCCTGGCGTTCCCTTGGGAGTCCCTCGTGGCTGGTTTTTACCTAGAGCGGGAGAGGAGGTTAGATAAAAATAATGAATCCTTTGAATGACAACCTCAGATATGAGAAGAATCGTGATAGGATCTATCTTGATCTCTTAGATTATTTTTCTTCCTGGTCTGCACCCTTTGCCAAGGATCAGAAGTGAGGACGTCCAGAAGGATTTTGAAATGAGCCCAAGGACTTTATGAAATTAAGTCATAAAAATACCATTTTAGGATTACAAGTTGCCCACTCACATTCAACATACAAAGTGTGTGCTCCACCATACCAGTGACCAATGTGTCTTGCCCTGAAAGTTCACACATGTTGCCAATGAACCACAGTTTTGGTTCTGTGTGTGAAACGTAGTACGACCAATAACTACAGTGCATTTGAAGGAATTTACAATAAACTCGGAGTGACTTACAGTGATCCTTAGCTCTTGTGCATTTCCTGGTGTGTTCAGGATCAACTTGGCAGTCCCATCATTCTGTGTTATTGCATTTGCTGCAAGGGGCTCTGACACCACGGGGACACGGGCGGCTGGGGAGCCATCAGGATTGGTGACATACACCTGGAGCAATTCAGAAGAAGTGACTGAGCATGAAATCAAGAGGTGCCTCCTGAGCCTAGATCACTAGCGCTGACACATCTGTGATGTGAGAGTTCTACTGCTGTTTATGTGTTTCTCTCTGGATTTGAGATAGCACAAATAACACTATATGAAGAAAATATATTGCAAATAAGGTTACCGTCAGTTCATAGGGCATCGTTGGCTTGAAGTACTTGGGGCTTTTGGTGAAGTGAATCTGATAGGGAGATGTCACAATACTAATGCCACTTTTCTCCGCCACCACCATGTCGCTGCCTGCAGAAAGAACATAGGAAAGGCAGGCTAAAAGATGAAGCCTAATTGTTAGAGGGGGAGGAAATTTATCTCCCAAATTATTTTAGAGTCAGCCTCTTAAGATCCAATAAATTCCAAACATTCTGTTTCTTAGGGAATTATGCTTCACCTCTGCTTGTCTTCTGAAGAAGCCCTATGTGTTGAATAGACTACAAAATCTATTAAATCTTTTGAAAAGAAAACCACACAGAGAGGCCATATTAACCAATGCTGGACTTTGACAACAAGGGCCTTGTGCAGAAAAAGCAGTGAAACACATTCCTGCTTGCCAGGATCGAAATGAAACTGAAAACACAATGCTAGATTCTAAAGTATGGACTGATTCCATAAAGGAAGTCACAAACCTGGTTTTGCAAGAGTTGAGCCAGTCTGTTAGTGGTAGGACATTTTGGTGGTCAGTCCTTCACAAGGTCACTGTAAGCTGGAGATGACTTTATGGTACATAGCAACAATTACTACTGTACTGCTACTGCTACATGTTCTGTAGTACAGTGGTCCCCAACATTTTTCGGATTCCAGACCGGTTGGGGGGGCTACATGTGCGGACTGGTTGGGGGGCAGGGACACCCCCACACTCATGGGTGGGTGTGTCACGCCTGCAGGTGGGCGTGTCGCGCTTGTGGAGGGTCATGTTGGAGGGACCGACGAGCCGTTTCACCCCCAGGTGGAAGGAAAGGGGTCATTCTTAAGTGCTGGAGGAGACCTCCAGTAAACACTCCTCTTCGGGACTTTGTGGTGGCCAGTCAGCCAACTGACGTGCCTGCATACACACCCAGGCGCACATGACTCTCTCCTGTGTCTTCCCCAATCCAGAGGTGATTCTGTTGCTGCCGCTCCCACAACCCTCATAGGTGGCAAGCTTAAGAAGACCTGAATGACCAAAGCCCAAAAAAGCCACCCCAAACCCCACCCCTGCCTTGACCGTGGTGAAAAAAAGTTCAGTTCAAAGGCAGTGTGCGCCACCGCCTCAATGGCAGGAGCGGAGGGACAGCGGGACGGAGGGAGGGGAAGGGAAAAGGAACGAGGGAGCTCAAGAAAAACGTGGTTTGCACGGGGGTGGGGAGAACAGGGGGATCCATGGAAAGGAAAATCCAGTGGGGTTTCTGTCCCCTCCCCCCACAATTGTCAATGTAACCACACATCCGCCTGCCTCGTCCCACAAGATGCCTTCCCTGAAACCGGTGGCGGCTCAGCCTCTGCACCTACTAGCTGGTGGGTCAGCCCGCGTGCCCCCGGCAGCAGCTGCTGGTCCCTGCCACACTGCCTGGCCCCCGGCCATGAGGAGTTGAGCTGCTGCCGGTTGCAGGAAAGGCAAGGGGTCCAGGCTTGTGACTGCCACAGAGGGTCCATCCAGGCCTTGGGGAAGAGAGGCAGGGGGGCTGGGCCCAAGAGGCGCCTGCTAGGTGGAAGACATCAGTTCTTGCACAGAGGTTGAGGTAGCAGCGGCTCAGGTGCTCCCTCCCCCTTAGCACAAGCGGGAAATGACCCCCAACGCTACCTGGGAGTGAACCGTTGCTGCCTCCGTGCCTGCGTCATGCTCCACCTTTCTCCCCTGAGCTGGCTGGGTTGCTCCGGCTTTGCCAAGATCCCTCACCCTCATCAATGGTTCGGACAAAGCTGCAGCTTTGCCTGCCTCCCCCCTCCCCTCCAACCCGCTCCTTCTTTCTTTCTGGGCTGCCCCATCGGAGCCCTCAAGCAACCGCAGTGCAGCCCCAAGCAGGCAGAGGGACCAGGATCGACCCCACCTCTGCATGTGAGGAGGGGAGGAGACGGGGAGGTCCACCAGGTAGGGGACTTCAGCTGGAGGCGGTGGTGCTCTCCTCAGGTCAGGGGAGGATAGGCAACCGGGGTGAACGCCGGCCAAGCCCATGCAGCCACTCCTGCGATGGGCTGGCCACCGGCCCAGCCAGGAGCCGGGAGGAGGAAGCGGACCTCGATGCCCCACTGGCGCTCCAGGGCCACCACCTCGGCAGCATACTCAGCAAAGATGGCACAAAAGCCCTTGTCCCGGAAGGCCTGGCTCAGGCACTCCGCCTGTCAGCTCGAGGTCCTCCAGGCTCGAGCAGGCCACCATGGCAAAGCCAACTCCTCTCCGTTCAAGGCCGGGCTTGCCCAAGGGGTGGGTGTGTCATGCTTGCGCAACACTCCCATTCGCAAGTGTGACATGCCCCCCGAGCATGCAGGGGGGGCAGAGATCCATGTCCGCGGCTCAGTTCCAGCAAGCCCATGGACTGGCAATGGGCCGCGGACCGGGGGTTGATGACCCCTGCTATAGTAGACATTTATCTCATACACAGCAAAGGCCTAGACTCTGGGACTTTTTGCTGTCCCATGTGAACTAACAAGCAGCTAATACTCACTTTGCCAGACGGTAAGTTCTTCCTTGGGATCTTGTCCCACACTGAGGACCCACAACTCCTGAGAACCCAATGCCCTGCTATAATGAATTCACAGAGACTCTGACAAATGCACAAAAATCATTTTACCGGAGTCCCATGGGTTTTGCATCATATATATACTGTTTGGAAATCCAGGGCATAAGGATAGATACTGTGTAAGCAGCACACTTTGGAGCCAGATGTTGCCACCCCAACATCAAGAGGGATGAAAGATAATCATCAAGAGGGACGAAAAGGGGAAATGGAGCAATTCTAGTCAGACTTACTTTCTGACTGAGGAAGTATACAGTGGTGCCCCGCATAGCGACGATAATCCGTTCCGGAAAACTCAGCACTATCGGGAATCGTTGCTATCCGAAACAAAAAAGCCCATAAGAATGCAATGAAACCCCTTCAATGCGTTCCTATGGGCTTAAAACTCACAGTTATGTGAAAATCCTCCATACGGACGCCATTTTCGCTGCCCAGTAAGCGAGGAATGGGCGCGAAAACACAGCAGGTGGCCATTTTGTTTACATGGCAGCCATTTTGGAACCGCCGATCAGCTGTTTTTAAAACATCGCTATGCCAAAATCGGTAAGCGAAACAGCTTACCGATCACCACAAAGTGATTTTTTGCCTATGCCAAAATCGGTAAGCAAAACAGCTTACCGATCACCACAAAGCGATTTTTTGCCATTAAAAACATCACAATGCGATCACTTTTGCGACTGCAAAAAACACATCGCTATGCGGCTTCGTCATTAAACTAATTGCTCGTTATGCAGGGCACCACTGTAAAGGAAATGCAGAAGAAGCCAGTGCACAGCAATAGTTTGTTTAGTTTCTCTCTCGGGATCTTGCATTCCTTAAGCAGCAATTTAAAATGGGTAAAATCCTGTTGCACAACTCTGCCACCATGACAAGGATGATGTCATCAGCAGGAGCAAATTACTGCTGATTAATGATGAATCTCTGCTGATTTAAAATGAATGGCCACTGACTAAAGACAATTTTGAGATGCATGCAACTCATATATACTGTACAATGCAATGAAATGCATGCGCCCTTCCACCCAACACTGCTATAAATATCTTTGTATCCTGATTTTTTAACCTGACTCTTCTCCCTGGACTGATCTCCTTGTGCTCATGTGTCCCTTTAACAAGATGTGCCAGACCCTGGAGTCGGGACCTTCTTCTTCCCACAGAGCTCTCCCA